CCTTGCGAGATTTTTCTTTTTTCCTTTTTTGTTTCTCTCTTTTTCGTTATATTCTCCAGTTCACGAATTGTAAGAGACGCTTTCTCACAACGCGACTTCTGGCCCAAAGGACGACAGAAACGTCTGCACTTGGTAGGGGCGAGTTGTGCACAGAGTCAGAAAATTACGAGAACGAGGTTGGCGGATATCGAATAATCGCCAGTGGTCGAACCAGTCGGCCAACGTCGATACGACGATGTCGCAATTGCTCGACCGTAAACTGGACCCACTGTGGGCCACAGTGGTCAACCGTGAATGGCCGGCCACGCCCTCGTACACCTTTCACACAGATCTCCTTTATAAAATGCTTCTTTATAAATTATCCGCAAAATCGGTTGATTGGTCGGAGGCGGGAGGCGCTTTTGCCGAATGCAAATCTTTCGCGACTCAATTTTAGTACGCGCGCGCGTTCGGTGAAATTGCGCGCACGTGAGTGAGGCATCCACAGGACAGTTTTGCCAACAATTTAAATGATAATCCACCGTTAGATCGGTGGATTGTACGAATGTCGAGTGAGCGTTCTACGCTTACTTAAGTTAAATCAATACAGGTCGATCGTACGGCCCAAAAGTCCGTTATTTGAGTGGCTTATAAAATCTCTTGTAAAATTTTCGCCTCGCCGTTCATTTGTGCTTCTTTTTTTTGTGTAATAGTAACGTCAGTTTGCCTAGTATTTTGTCGACCGTTTTAACATTTCGACAAAATAAAATATCCTCCAAATTAGATATCCAAGTTTCATATTTTTTTCACCAATATTTCTCGTACGAATTGTCTCGACCGGCCAACAGAGACAAAGAGCGACATTGAATATAATTTGAAAGGAACAAACACACTTTCTCTCTCATGTCTGTGAAGGCGAGTTCAAAACTTTTTGAATCATCCTGTAGCTCAGCTCGATCGATATTGCAGCGAAAGAGACAGTGTATGTACACTTGCGCCAGTTTCGAAACGGCGAATTATTTTGTTTCAAAACAGTCGGTAAAGGTGATGTCTGTCACGGGTAACTCGAATAAAATTATCGAGTCGTGAATGTCATATAAACAACTGATTCGAATACTCAGGTTCGATACTCGAACATTCGAGTGTTCATAGTTTGCAATTTAGGATTCGAAATTTAATTTTTTTTTATAATTATACATATTTTTTTTATAAATGCACGTATACATGTACGTATACATGTATATACAATTTTTATTTTTATTTCTTATCTGTGACATGTACGAGATATAATTATTACTTAGTTCCAATCCAATTTAGTTGTATCGAAAAAAAGTTCAATTAACTAGCCAACTTGGTCAATGCGAAAATAATTCTCGTTCTTTCTTTCGTTTCATGATCTTCATGACTGATCGAGTTGTGCGCTTCGTTCTGTGTAGAGGCCAGTTTCCAGAAGCGATCCTTTCGGCTGTCGTTTCAACCGTTGCTTCGTTTTAACTTTCAATGCCTGTGCAAGTAACTCTAAAGCCGAATGTAAAAATAATACCGCATAAGAAATATCGGCTCGAGGGACAGCAAGAAATTTTATAATGGTACGCGTCTATACCAGCACATTTCTCTCACTTCTCTGTCGCTCTTCCGAGAGCGCATAGGAAAAGGAAAAAAAAAGAATAGCATTCAGAAAGAGCGGCAAGAAACGATTACTCGGCACTTTGGCGCTACGCCGCGACGCGCTGCGACGACTACGATGTAGCGCGGAGCTGCATGGTAACGTTGAAAAACTACGCGGCGTCGTATTCATCGGCTCATGGGGTTTTCTAGCGAGTGAAGAAAGCAAGTACGAGCTATGAAAACGACTTATGAAACGATCATAGCCGTGGCTCTAAATAGGCGCGCGTCGTTAAGCGAAAACCCTTTCTCGCTCGCAAATTGTAACGTGCGTCTTTGGACGCTGTGCGTGGGGGAGGAGGCTACAAACTTTTCAGGATTTCAGTGTTGGAACATTTTCGAACAATTTATTGTAATTAACCTCATAAATATGACGGAGACCATATTTTTCACGCCGAGAACGCGATCCTATAAACCGTGTATCCTTCTTTGCAACAATTGTAATATAAGCATGCAACATCGTAGTTAAACTACTCCGATATCGGAGGTAGTGTATAATTAAGATTTATCAACCATTTCTCTCGTGATACAAAACTCTGGAATCGTTACATTGTATATCTTTATAATTAAAAGTCAGCTTTAAGATTAAGTTTGGTAAAGCAAAGTCTGGAAATTAAAATATGTATCTACACTGACGAAACAATGTATTTGTTTAACTACAATTACACAAAGAAACGACAAATTATGATGAAGAAAACTATTTTTCTTTTCATTACATTCTATTATAATGTTTCTGTTTGCTATCAGTATACCGATAATCATTTCTCTTTCCAGCGCATTAAGTCACACGTTAAGAAAATTTCATCCTGAAATAATTAATAAACTGCTATCGGTGTGTCTGTTGACTATCTTGTCGAGAAGTCAATTTCACAAATCGATTGTAAATCTCCGCGGGCGAAAGGAACGTTTCGGACTTACCTTCCACATAGACACGTGAGATTTATTTTCCTCAAACGATTCAATCGAGCAATCAATGCCAGCAGTGCGCTAACGCGTTAATGCGAGCGAACGAATGATACATTACGTTATAATAAGCGATACATTACGTTGGACAATAATTTGTCAGCTCTTCGTGATGCACGAATGATCGATGTTGCATGCACTCGCAAGATCGTTTAAATGGTAGCGCCAGTTTGTCGGTGAGATTATTAATGACGCGGAATTATTCGCGTCTCTCGCGCTGATTCTTGCCGATGTACACGTGTGGTCGCTATTCTCGAGACATTATTTCATTAACGTGAACTTTTGAAAGTCATATTGCCGACATAAATGTCTCGTGAAAGTTATTCGTGCACTTTCCTTCCTGCGGGAGTAGTCACTCCCTAAATTTGTGACTGATCAAAAGAAATATATGCCTTTTGATTTTGACACGTTCTGCAAGTATACCGAGTTTCATTCAAGTCGAAGATGACTCCTTGTGAGAATTAAGTCGAAAAGCCGAATATCCTTGGAGCTGTACTTTAATATCTTCGATATATACACAGTTACGAATTGGTACAAGTAACATGTACGAACTGCACGAACGATACTATACGTCCTCGCAACGCGCGTATGGAGAGTACGCATGTCTGTGCGACGCTCGCGAAATTCTACAAATGTAAATCTGGATCGTTCGCGCGCGCGCGGGAGCAAGTTTCGAGATATTTTTCTTACCGCCCAATCGACGAGAGAGAGAGAGAGAGAGAGAGAGAGAGAGAGAGAGAAGGAGAGAGAGGGGAGGGTACTGACTTCCTCGGTCATCGATTCCTGCTAAAGTCATCGACACGTGACTGCGACCGGTCCTGCAATCCAGTTCTATCGCGGCCCAATCAGGCGAGGGATGGAGGACGACGTGAAGAAGGAGAAGGTGGAGGAAGACGAGAGGAAGAAATCCGACGAAGGGGAGGTTGGACGGGAGAGAGCAAAAGAGAGTCTCGATTGCTATTGCCGGATCAAGGACGTCCGCCTACGCCGCTTCCCGTCGTATATACCGTTACATCACTACCGAATTCCGGGTTCCCCGGGAGCTCCTTCTTCGCAAACGAGTGAACGGAGCACCAATAGTCGGAAAATCGCTACTCCTCATCCGTCGGACTCTCTCACAAGTTTAGCAGAGGCCGCGGCTTATCCGATTTGCTCCGAGTTTCCGTCCGTTGGAATCCGGATGTCGAGAGGAGCAAGAGTACGTACGTACGTATATACGTATGTATGTATCTACCTACAGACGCGCAGCTGCGCTCGCGGCATTCTTCGCGCGTTGCGAAATAGTGCGGTGATCCTCTCGCGCGCGCGCCTTCGCGTGCGCTCTCATATGCACTCTCGCGTGCACTCTCGCGTGTACTCCATGTATGTTGTATCCGCGTGTGGGCGGCTCGACGAAGCCGGGGCACCGATACAACACAGCCATCGCCGATAGCCGACGCGTGAGCGCGTGCGAGAGCGCGTGGTCATTGATGGGTGCCCGTGCGTCCACGTGTGCGTGACTCAGAAACATAAACCGAGCAGCACAAACCGAGAGAAAATTCGCGAGAGGACGAGAGCCCGTTTTATTCTCTTAAGGGAGAGAAGCGCTTTGACGCAAAAATCAGGTGAAACGTAAAATCAATGGCGAGGAATCATTTTACAATATGCGATTCGCGTTTTGATTTTGCGCGTTTTTCAGCACCTCGTCCATACTCCCCTGCTGCTACTGCTGTTGCCTTTAAATCCTTGACGCGCAGCGGGTTGGCTCTTTCTCTCTCTCTCTCTCTCTCTCTCTCTCTCTCTCTCTCTCTGTTCGATCAGATAAGCGAGAGAGATAGCGTTTCGTGCAGCACAGCGCGGTGCAAGACCGTATTCTATGAACTCATCGCGAGATCAACGCATCAAAATGGACCTCAGGGTCGTTGGAATTCAGCGAAACGTGTTTGTTGGCACCGTATATCGCGGTAACGCGCCAGTTACACCGCGAATTACCTTTTTTCCTTACGACTTTGGACGCCCATTTGCAACTAGCAAGAGCCATATCCAATCTCGTTTATATGAGTTTTCCCACTTGGTGTCTTTGCCTAATGTGTCGAATATTTCGGCGACATTAACTTGATATTATAATACAAATTTCTAGTATTTCTTCCATTTACCTGAATTATTGCTATGATAGAAATGTAGTTAGATGCTTGCCATTATTTTCTTTGACGTTTTTTTTTTAGTTTACACTGTAAAATTCGATTCTTTTGGGATTGAAAGGTATCAAACAGATGACGAAAACTACGAATATTAAATTTTCCATTGTAAAATGTACATGTACATGCGTGTGCGTGCGTTTCGTGCCTCACTCTTACAAAAAAAAAAATAAATAAAATGAAATTTATAAAATATAAAATATTTTGTATGAGAGAGAGAGAGAGAGAGAGAGAGAGAGAGAGAGAGAGAGAGAGAGGATATCGATGGTGATGGGGCATATGTAATCGGCATTGAAATAAATACACCTTGGTAGATTGATTTCTCTACGAGGCTGCGCGCTCGAGTAATCATCGAATCAAATTACGAACAATGACTCCTTGCCTTTGCCCTGCAGTGTTGTAAAAAGGAAGACATCGTCCCCCAGGCGGTTCCTCGTCGCCGAAAAAATTCCACATCGAAAATACGTTGTTGCCATACGTCACTGTAAAAAAACGCGTTTAATCCGAAGATACTCCAAAAGGAAAATTTTTTCTTTTTCTGTGAAAAAGAAAAAATAAATAAAAACAAAAGTCTTTACGTCGCTGCTCATCACGTACCTAGCTGTTTGTGCGTAGCATTGAACTTCATGAAGGAAAGCCGGTCGTTTTTATTCAACGGTATCGCATCGACTGTCCTTTCGAAATTGGCGAGAACCGGAATGACGGAGTGTCGTTTGTTCCCTACCGTGTACGACCAATGCACGACGAGCTCGCCGCTTAATTTGTTCCAAGCGAGATTTTCCACGTGACCTTCAAACTTGGCAGGCAGATAGTCTATCATCGCGTACGTGTTAATGTTCCACAACGACAACGACGCGTCTCTTGATCCGCCTATGCAAAGCAGCCCGGATATTTCCGGATGCCAGGCCACCGCCTATCAAATATAATATAACGAAACGTTTCCTCGCATCTTTGTCAAACTTGTCGCTCGATTGTCGTGCCCTTATCAATAAAGGGAGTCTCTTTCAAGTCCGATGGAATTGTTAATAACAATTTTGACTTTCAGGTTGAAATTTTTTACTTCAATACGGGTATTTCACTTGATACTGAGAGAAAAATATTTGGCATTTGTGACTACTGCAGCATAATGAAACAGCCAAAAATTCATTTTTGTAGCGAGCGTATTACTATAGTATCGTTGGTGATAATATTATATGTATATGGCTGCTATTTTTACTACAAAAGATATGTTTGATGCTTAAAGTGAATATAATTAAGGTGAACTATAAGGTAAGATAAACTATTTCTTTCGTCTCTCTCTCTCTCAATGCAACGAGGCACGGACGATTGAGATTATGATTGAGCTGTTTGACAACGATGCTAGGCCTACCTTTATAGAACTGGAAAATTTAATGTTGTACCATTCTGTTAAATTCGGCCAAGTGTATATCCGAACGCATTTGTCCTGTGCGGTCGACACAAGATATTTGAAATTGGACGAAAAGTTCAAGGTGATGATGTCAGCGAGATGCACATGTTTCGTCAACAGCAATTGGCCCGTGTTTGACTGAAATACCGATAGTGTTTCCGAGCATGCTCTGCGTAACGTTATTATCTCTTATTATTCGCGTATTCTATATACCATTATTATCTTTACGATTCATTTCATCGTATTATCGATTGTCAAGCTTGCGAATTTGTTCGATATGGTAAATCGTCAATGATAAATCAATGACGTAGATGAGAATTTTGTGCACGAACAAATTTGTTAGCATTGCGCTCGAAAGATTTAAATCGTGAATAATTGCATTTTGCGTTTAATTAAAGTTCCAACAGCTGAAAGGGATTAATCGCAGGAATTAATCGATATTTACGTTACAATCAGACGATTGTCGTGAGACCAGCAGATACAACAATTGTTACACGAGGTTGCGTAGTTGTTAATGGAACAGTAACAAGGGACGCTCCATAGAAACTTTTTCTTTTGCGAATCGTACAATTTCAGCTGCATTGAATTACGAAACGTACATGCTACTTTAGCACCTAGAATCAAGACATGCGGTTGCACTCCTATTATTACTAATGTATATTATAAAACATTTATTTATGAGCGTGTGTGTGTGTGTGTGTGTGCGTGCGTGCGTGCGTGCGTGCGTGCGTGCGTGCGTGCGTGCGTGCGTGCGTGCGTGCGTGCGTGCGTGTGTGCGTGTGTGTGTATACATATACACATATTTTTATAGATTGCATATCACAAATTTTATCAATAATTAATATTAAATAAAGTTGTATATTAGATTGCGTAATTGTTACTTCTATGTAGAGAGAAATATATTTGTTTTATAATATAGGAAAGTCAGAAATACGGAGAGAGGGTTAGAAGATAATTCTTCTATTGTTCCGGTAGGAAATATACTTCAGTAAGAGGGAAATAAAGATTCAAGTTTCGTATAAACGAGAAGTAAACGTTTTTTTTTTGTATGACTGAACTTACCATCGTTACTCCACTTAACGGCGGTAGCGTCCCACAAACCCAATGTATCCAATACCTTGCCATTGTTGTTGTATATTGTCAAACCGTCCTGATTGCCCACCACGAATACGTCCATGCAACTCCAGTCAATCGGCTGACCGTCATAACCTTTAATATTGAAAAAATCGTGACATAGATTAATAAGAGACGTTGATTTCATCGAGTTTAATTGAGACAGGATCTTAACTGAATTGCCAAGTACAATATGGTAAAAAATACGGTAAATAATTCGCATATCTTTTACCTTCCTTCATTGGCTCTCGATTGGTCGTAGAACCGAATTTTCAAGTGCAATTTATCATGTTTTGTATGTAACTTAATGACGAGTTAGCGTATTACAGTGGGGCCGGGGTTACCGATGACCGTCCACGTGTTCACAGTCTTAATGTTTTAACGCGAACCGATCGCGCGACGTACTCTGATCAATGGACAAGCTCAGCATCTTCTCCGGGCTTCCTATCAGAGGCCTCTTACGCGGCGCGCACTTCCACTTTCCCTCCGTCTCGGATCTCGAACGTCCTTGCGCAGCAGAATCGTTCAACCCTCGACAACGTTCGACGAAGATCTGCAGGACCCTCTTTTGATTCAGACCTACCGATTTTTACAAAACGACGAAAATCGAATGAAATCTGACAAAGAGGATTCAGCAAGTTGTAGCAAATTCGAAGAAATGTCCAACTTTGAAGCACATACGAATCCGATGACGTAGTAATTCTTTGTATTTTCAGCCGAAAAATTGTTCCAGGCGTAAAAAAAATGTGATAAAAATAAAAAATAATTGCAGAATATTAGGTTCTCGTATGTATTCTCATTCCTTTAGAGTTGAAGAGACTTTTCGAATCCACGCGGATCGTACTAATATTTCTATCAAGATTACCTGACACGCATTCCTGGCTTATCATCATTGCACGCATAGCTTCGCGTCGGTACGTAACATCCAGCAACTCGACCTAATTTTTCGGAAAAAAACAGTGTTAATGTCGCGGGAGATGACTGGGATGAATGTTGTGGATAGATGTATCGCGCATTCGCACCTGTTTGCAGTAGTCTATCTCGCTTTTATCTTCCCAATCGTCGGGTTGTTGCTTTAACAAGTGGTATGCCGCTTGGAGACTGTGACCGTGCCGACGCGGTATGAATCTATCTCCAGGATAAACTTCTTTCGCTATTGGCAGACTCGGTCTGATCCGGACGGTCTTTCCGTCGTCTAGATCCGATAAGTCCTGCGTGCGACACTGTTCGGGGCTTTCGTTGATGGCCTCTTGATAAGGGGTGGATGCTAAGAACCACTGGTGAGGACTGGTCTGGGCAAAATTTATCGGAAACAATAATGACGATTAATCGATCGCTTCCGATCGAGAATTTTAAGACACCACGCTCTCTAAATCTAAAGTAATAACGCTCAAGAGAAAAGCAGTCAAAGCGAAAATTATCTGGTAGAAATCGATCTGGATACGCGTAGAAATGAGCTAAGCTACGGACATAAGCAAGCATTATGATATCGCGTATATTTATTTATATTTAATCAGTATAAATGACAGAAACGGAATTCCCTCTGAGCTATTTGTGTGTATGTGTGTGTGTGTGTGTGTGTGTGTGTGTGTGTGTGTGTGTGAAATTCAGTAAGAAAATCTCTAACGCTCATTCAGATGAAGGCTACTTGTTATAAAATTCACTGTGTGGTTAGACAAAAAACACCGACAACGTGAGACAGATGAATGCTCACACTCGCCTAAATTTATTTGCAGATATTGCTAGGATGCTGTAAATTCTACCAATTTTCTATCAGATAGAAAAAACAGCGATAACAGTGACATTTAGAATTCTACTTGGACCAGCAAGATATTTTCTTTCAGTGAACGCAATAGCAAGCGCGAGTATCGGCACTCTTGCAGAGGTTCTACCCTGGAATTATTTAGTCACAAAACAAGTAATGCCAGAAGAAATGCAAGCAATTCAATCATATTTTGCTCGAGCGAACACCAGTCTCGGATTCCATCATCGAGTGGATGACGAAACTGGTGTTTTCCGTGATATGCCAGTGCGTGCTCTTATCTCACACGAAAACCAATTTCGGGGCATTACCTTGATCGATTAATTACCTTTTAACAACCGGTTACGACGTCACGACTAATTGAAAGCTTCATTCCCACGGTGAATCGGCGCGGCGCGACGAACCGGTCAGCGGTACGACGACGCGTGTGATGCGAAAACGCCGCGTCGTTCGTTCGTTCGTTCGTGGGCTGTACCACCTGCGGCAAAACTCTCTCAGTCTCTCACACAGGGGATGCTCCTCGAGAGCGCCTAAGAGACAATATATTCGTAAGAGACTCGAGAATAAGAGCTACCGCGATCGCACAACCGGCACATCCTCCTGCCCGAACGGCCTTTTTCAATGCGAGAGACTTTTAAACGAGCGGACATAGGTCGAGAAAGTCCGGTATGACGTACATATGTAAGTATATATGTATGTACATCGAGAAAGAACAAGTATCTTTTTACTCTTTATCGGCACGCAACAAAGAGATATAATAGAAGCTAAACTAAATATATAAAAGACTCTGTTTGTGGAATACAACCAAATTCAGAAAAATATAAAGCCAATGCGCTGGATGCGCTAGTACGAATAATTAAATCGTGCGATAGTAATATTGTTTGATAGTGCAAACGCACGCTTCGAATATTTCTCCGAGATCTTTGCGATGCACGCGGAGCGAATCAAATCCCTCCGACCTCTGAATCCCAAGATGCAATAGAAAAGATTATGATTCTAATGAGATTAACCATCTCTTTCTCTCAGTATTTATGTCACATGGATGTAATAGGTAGAACGCCATTGAACTACGCCTCGAATTATAAAGTGTTTAAAGCCAGTTGTCCCAGTTATCGTGCGTATTGGTTGTATCGTGCTGTACGCAGGATTCCCTGCTTTAGCAAAGTACATGCTTGCGTTTCAGCAAGCGCGTGGCAATAGGCGAACAAGGCCGTCTCTCTTTTAGCGAAAGCGACTGCTGAGCCGACAGTGAAACGAGAAAAGATCCTACCAGACGTAAAATCCAAAATTTTCTACGTCCGTGCGGCCAGTACGCACCGGAGGGTCGCCGCTGGATAATTTTGTGCCAGCGGCATTATGCACGAAGGGGTAATACCTTATACGACCATTGTACCCCCTGCGAACATCTGGCTGTCCGGGTTAGTGATGGATGGGACAAGCTACCGAACCTGATTCCCGCGGCTGGACCGATCTCACGTACACTTGAAAAATGCTCCCGAATGCACGCACGCACACGCGAACACGCACGCAAACACACACGCGCACGTGTCCTATAAAGTTATAATCTATAAGATCGGACGAGCGCTTTTTTTTCGTGGCGCACCGTCGTCGATTCTTCGCGCGACACTTCAGTTTAATCCAGAGAAAGAAAATGTGCGAACGTACAAAACGCTTCAAGAGACATCGAGTAATTACATGCTATATACTGTACGATAATGAGCGAGTACCGACAACGCGCGCAATTTGTATTGTGTCCTGAGAATCTTGAAACGATCGTGCAGAACTTTGAATTTTCCTCGAGAGCGACAATTTCAGAAAATCTCGGAACGTCCCGAGAATCTTAAACGAATTACATGTGCAAAATGATACATCGTTATGAGAATTGTGATGTATATGCATCACACGCATAATATAATGACAATAATTGGCCGTCAAGATTCCGAAAACATTTAAGATTATCTCTTGTGAAATTTTCGTTTTGATTAATATCCGAGCGCGAATCGTGATGCTCTTATTGTATATTCGGAGTAATTCGGTATGTTCTACGTTCATCGTTATTATTATGTAAAATCTATATCACTCAAGTCATCCAGGCGGCTCGTCATAAGTGTGACGATCTCCCTCCACTTTCGACACCCGTTACGAGCGCGGTATTAGATCGTACGTTAGACACGCGATTGGCTCCCGTCGGACGCGAAGAGGTTGGGCCAGGTGGGCCATCAGGGGGTACATGATGCGATTGGCAGCACGAATAGTCGAAGAGGAAGGGGACAAATGAGCCTGCTGGTCAGCGAATCCGCCGCAGCTTCGCTATCAACGAATTAATACGTTCATTCATCCGCCGGTCCACTTCTTTTTCGAGCTTATCCTGCGTGATCGACTGATCAATTAATTTATCACTGATAAATGAACCATGTGTATATTGAAAGAACTACATTGTGATGTGATACAAAATAGTTAAATATATTTAGTTACGATTATTTCTTAAGTTGAATGATAAAAAGAAAGCTGCATTTACTATTTTAATTTATATATTTTATTGTGCCTAAATTAATTTAATTATTATATATTACATAATCACAAAGTACCATACTTTTGTGCTTACAAATAGGATAATTATGATACATATAACTAATGTGTAAACCATTGTTACAATTAATGATTCATGTGATTATGATTCTTTTATTTGTATGAAATAAAATAATAATTTATATAATATGTATAAAAATATACATACAATCATTTCAAGAAAATAACTTAAAAGTAAGATTCGTTACTTTTTGAGTAATTGTAACTGTAACTAGTTACATTTTCAGCAAAGGGAACTGTAACTAGTTACTTTTAAAAAGTAACTTTTTCAACCCTGGTAGATACACATATACACACGTTCTTTTGGGATTTTTTAAATTCTCGAACCGACCCAATTATTAAATAATCTTAAAACAAAAGAAGATGCGAAACATCTTAACGTGATCAGACGGAATATATCTGACATTGGTTGCGGAAGCATACGTATGATACGATATTCTCGAGCCTCTTGATGGAGGGCGTAAGATGTGTACAGATCAGGTGGGGTAGATTCTCTCTCTCTCTCTCTCTCTCTCTCTCTCTCTCTCTCTCTCTCTCTCTCTCTCTC